CGGTTGGACGTTTTGAGTCTCCTTTTGGACAAGATAAACGTTTGTAGGAGCATGTATTGCATCATCACTTTCAATGACATCTTCATTAACCATAGTATAATCATCCGTAGCTACATTAGGTTCATCATCTTCATATTCCAATTCTGAATTTAAAGCAGTCTTGCTGGCAACAGTGATTTATTGTGGAACCTCCAAACTAGCCGTCACATTATTGAAATTTTTTCGAATTGCTTTCATTAAGTTATTCTAACCAACTGTTTTCTTTAGTTTTCTTCAGAACACCTGGCAACATCATTAGCAACATTAAAAAATTGAACCTAATGACTGTAAATTACACAGTCATAGCCATAGTAACATCAATTTTTCTACAGTAACATTCATTTTCCTGTTAATATCATCAATAGTAACATCAATTTGATATAGTAACATTGATGGCAAATTTAACATTGTCATGCAATTAAACAATTGTCAAAAATAATTTAAATTTGGAAGAACAAATTTTTAAATAATACCTGATCAGCTGTTATGCCAAACAGTGTGTTTTGTGAGAGAGCGGCCCAAAGTTTTCTTAAGTCCCATTTCATTCACCGTGGGAATGCATCCGCCTTGTCAGGCACAATAAGAGACGTGTGTTCACATATCCAGTACTGCAATTTAGATATAGTTACATTATATAGAATAGATAGTGTTTAATGAAAAAATAAAAAAAATTAAATAAATTATCAATATAAAACTTACTGGAAACAGTAGTACACAACCGGTTACTGCACTCGGTGTTTCAAACTTCAACCGTATAGAATTCATCATTGCATCAATAGTTGCTTGAGACCAGCCGTATTTTTTTATTTCATCTAGATTTTCTACGAACGACACATATCCCCATCTAATCGTTTGCCCCATATTGTAATTAGTAGTGTAACTAAGACATACAAAGAGAATAATCTAACAAAATTTTCACAATCATTCTTACCAACATCCGTTGCTATCTCCTCCAACCTGTTTTTTAATAATTTGTGCATTCAACCTATTGGTGTTACTGAATCTCCTCCTAACAAATAGTGAATTTTTTTTTGCACTTTGGGAGGAAAGAATTTGATCGACACCATCTTCTATACCAAAAATGAGTGTTACATTAGTCTTCCGTATTTTCATACCTTTTCCACCAATACGAAATCTTGATGTTTCACTATCAAACATTGTAATTATGTCCACAATACTCTTATCATTTTTTTTTTGAACCATTTTTTATCCACTTCAGTTGTTGATATTGTGTTAAACAGATGCCAAAATGGTGTTCTTTTTAGTTGTTCTCTGTGAACATCTGTAATGTTTAGGTCAGTTATAATCTTCACCAATGGAAGTAAATTAGATCGAAATTGGTGAAATGAAGTTGCTTTTGGAGCAGTGGATTTACTTTTTTTTTCCATCAACCTATAACATAACATTTGGAATATAAATTGATGAACAACAGACAATAACATTAGCTTTGTAACATGAGCATAGTAACACTTACTAATAAACTGAATCCCAACAACATATTCTTAGTAACATTATAACATACACAATTCAATAACTTCAGTTTAATATATACGATTGATTTCATTGCATATTCATTGTGTTCTCATTTTACATTAAAAATCAAACAACAACTCCTGCACTCTTCATAAACAACATATGTTGCATTAAAAGTTAAAAAACACAAAATGGTTTGATTAGTAACATGTTTACAGTGACACCAAATTGTTAGTAACATCCACAGTACCCAAGCACATCCAAACATTGAAAATATGAAATCATTTATCCAGTTATCACACTGAAAAATTTCAATGTACTCCTGAACCATTGGTTTTCGAATATCTTGAACAATGAAGAAAGTAAAAAATAATAATAATAATAAAAATATATATATATATATATACACACACCAAATTGTATAACACGTTGATTAAGTAACAATAACATGAACATGAACAGTTTCAGTCCCAAGGTCATATTGAGCACAGTAACAATGAATTTTGAAATATTGATAGTAAAAAAATAATTCAAAAATTGATGTTGTTGCTGTCATGAATTTATGGTAACATAATATTAATGGTTGATTTAAGACACTCAATACAAATCAATAACATCAATATATCGACATTAAAATAATAAATTTTGAAAATTACTCTCACAATAACATTACAAATTCCAAAGAAACCACACCAATCAATTTCGAATGTATAACACAATGAAAAAAAAAACAAAATCAGAATACCCAACTCTCTTATATAGTAACAAAAACTCAAAATATTATTTTCAAAAAATTAAAAAAAATAAAATTTGACAGTATGAATGATATAGGTTGTAAATGTAGTTTTAAAAAACCCTAAAAAAAACATCTTAGTTTATGTAAAATCATATACCTCTTAAAATTTTTAAAGAATCTCAAAGCTTTCTGAAGACTTCAAGAATGCCGATTGTAGCTTTTTGCCAATGAAATTTGAAAAGTAAAACCGATTTTCGGTTTTCTTGTTGGAAACAAGTTTGAAATTTGCAATAAAACCGGTTGGGTAATGGCGGATGGATCTTTGGGAGTAGGAGAATGAGAAAATTTTGGGGAAATTGCCGGATTAGTAGCCAAGAATGCAAGGGAAGTTACTGGTTTACTCACCTAGTAACAAACGACAACGAAAGATTTTTTTGTTTCGTAAACAAACAGTAAGTTACACGCTGTTTGGGGTTTTTAAAAAAATAAGGGTATAATAGTAAAAGTGACAAAAAATGGATTTCAAACCAAATAAGTATTCTTGCATGCCTTATCTCTAAACAAGTACATTTAGGGGGACCGACCTCTAAATTTTCCTAAATTCAATTATGACCTGTTAGAGCCCACTCAATACAAAGCCTAATAAAATAGGGTTCATCATTCGAGTAGGGTGTTAATCACAACTTTAGTCCTAGGCCATCCTGTACTGGGCCTTGGCCCAATTCACTAGCAGTTGACATATTCCACGAATTGTTGTTCAAGTATCAAAATTTTGTTTCAAAATGACTGAATATTTTTATTTTAAAAAAGGCTGAAATAAATTTGTGATTAAATCAAAATTTTAATGTTTTGAGGTATTTAAGATTGTTTTGAGGAATTTTGGTATGTTTCCATTAAAGTTTAGGCGAATTACTCTTTCCGCTCTGAAAAATTTTAATTTTTCTATTTTCTATTTTAAAAAATTAAAATTTTCACATTATACCCTCAATATTTCAAAAGTGTTACAATGTGACTCTTATGTTAACTTTTCATTAATTTTTCTGTCAGTATCAATAGGTTGGTTTTTGACGAAAAAAATAATAGAAGTTAAGAGAAGAGTTACATTATAATATTTTTGATATATTAAAAGTACACTATGAGAAATTTAATTTTTAAATGTACAAAATAAGAAACTTGAAATTTTTCAAGATATACAGTGCAAAATTTTTTAAAGCTTTGAGGTATTTTTAGTATATTTCATCCTATGTTTTAAGAGTAATGCTATATGAATTTAAAAATTAGACTTGATAATCGTAATTATTGAATAAGTAGTGGGTTTCAATAAATGCTAGAACCCACAGTAAAATCAATATCTGTAATTATCAAGTTTAATTTTTAAATTCATATAACATTGTTCATGTTTTAAAAATAAATTTTTATCATTATATATTTATTTTTATTCTATTTTTTAAACGTTTTCAAGATATTTTGAAAGTGTCTCTATTTTTTATATCACTGAAATAATGCAAAAATTTTAAATTGTACGTATATTATTATACATACACAAGACATGTACGTATACTTACAAATAAAAAAACATATAATAAATATAAATATTTATAGAGCACGAGCTTCATAGAGGAATTTATTACCAATCTATCCCATTTATCAAACTTATTTACTAATATACTGTTGTTTTCAACTTTTTTACCAAACTACCGCTGTTTTAAAAGTGGATTTGACAAATCCGACTTCATGGGGAAAACAAATTTAAAAAATCCGACTTCATTTGAAAAGCGGATTTGACAAATTCAACTTTATAAGAAAAGTGAATATACCAAATCTGACTTCATTTAGAAAGTAGACATACCAAATCTGTTTTTCAAATATTTTATCTAATTTTCTTACTGAGATACCACCCGAAATTCTTGACTTTATATATTTTCTCCCTAAAAAATAAATCACTCATTTTTATCATATATTTAATTATTTAATATTTAATTAATTTGTAATTAATATATTTTGAAAAAATTTAATATAATGAAATCAATTTTTTGAATGTTCGAATTTTATATTTTATCGTACCTTCAGACACGTGTTATAACTAAAAAATTTAAATAGAATCTATTAGTGGATTTTTAACGACTAATAAAGATGAGTAATTTATTAACAAAAAATATAAAATTAGAGAGATCAAACGTATTCAATAATAGTCAAATATTTTTTTGGCGATCAACAAAATTATACATATAAAGGCTTGAACCTTGGTAAGTCTGCTTTCCATATAAAGACGGATTTGGTATGTCCGCTTTCCATATAAAGACAGATTTGGTATGACTATTTTCTCAATGAAGTTGGATTTATCAAATTTGCTTTTCAAATGAAGGCGGATTTGCCAAATTCGTTTTCCCTATAAAGTCGAATTTGTCAAATCTGCTTTTAAAACAACGATAATTTGATAAATAAGTTATATACGGTAATACAACGATAAATAAATTTGGTAAATGAGATATATCGGTAATATATTCCTCCATTGAGCGACAATAAGTTCGCGTTTCAGATAAGTGTGCTGTCTCTCTCTCTATATCTCACACACAGACACACTATTTCACTGCATTGCGGCTAGGGTTCACCAGCCCCTCTCTACAGATTTTACTAGGGTTTTGTAGTCGTTGAGACTGTGATAGATCTAGATGGATACGAAGTGGAATTAGGGTTTCGTGGTCGCCTTTCGGAGTTGTGAGCTTTGCGAGCTAGGGTTTTTTGGCTGGAAATGGCGACTACGAACCCGTTTGATTTGCTCGGCGATGATGATGCCGAGGATCCATCACAACTGATCGCTGCTCAGCAGCAGAAGATCGTGCCGAAAAGAGCTCCACCTCCGGTCCAGCCGGCTCAGCAGCCGCCGTCCAGACCGGCGTCTAAATTGCCTTCGAAGCCTCTCCCTCCAGCTCAGGCAGGTGAGGTCTCGATTTATTCCTCGGCTATTCTTTAAATTTCCGTGATATAAGTGCAGATATGCATATATGTAAGTGTTTGTTGTTGTGAGATTTTTTACTCTTTCTAGACTGGGTTTTGGTTGTGTTTTTACTTGTGTATCGGGCAGTTGTTAATTTGGGGTGTCCTATATGGAACTGTGCCTTTTTCTTTCTTCAAATGGTTTATAAAGATAGTATTTTCGATCTGACAAGTAGTTACTATGAGCAGAAAACCATTTTATGGGAGATGCCCAAAAAAAAAAAAAACACTATTTTTAGCTTTAAATTGTATCTGCAAAGAGGATCATGTTGTCAGTTTTTACGCTCTGTAAGAGTGTTATACAATAGCAATATGTAGGAGAAGGTAACTTTTCAACTACTGCTATCTACAAATTAGATTTATGGTAATATGATGAGGTGCTTTTATAGTTCAGATGCTATTTATCCCAAGAAAAGAAAAGATAAAATATGAAGTGCGGAATGAAGTTTGAATATTTCACTTGTTAATATTTTATTCTTTTGCTGTGTGATACTGTGTATAATTTTGTAGGATAGCGTTTCGTGGGATGCTTAATACACTACATCATAGTGACCCCTCAAATTATTCATTTATCTCCGATAGCACATTTCTTGTAATTATTGGAACATTAATTGAATAATGCACTGCAGGTCCTTTTTTATTCCATCATGACACATCCATTGAGCTTGTATGAATTAGGTTCCTTGACCCTTTTGTTTTCTGTTAGTTGAGCATGTCAGAAAGTTTCTTGAAGACAGCAACTTGTTGGGGATTTCCTGTGATGTGCTTGTTAAAGGGCCAAATACAGACGAGTAAGACCTTTTTGTAGAGATTTTGGTAGGTTATTTGTCATCCGTTTTTACATATACTAGGGGTTGCTAGTGCAGTCCCCTAATACAAATGCGTCTTTCTGAATCACATTTTCAGATTGGATATTGTCATTTGTTGGCCGAGTTGGAGCAAGGAGAATATAGTCCTGTTGGTGGAGTTGGATTATGGTTATAATAAGTAGGTTTATCATTTTATGATTGTGGAGATCAGAATTATTTACAGTTGGCCTGTGCTATCTGAGATATTTCAGAAGGTAGTACATTTTCTTAGTTGCAATGTTGTGTACTTGAATGTTATTCTTATCCTGTAACGACTGTCTGCAAGTGATACTATGAGGAAAGGAAGAAAAACACAGGTAGCAAGCAAGCTGTGATACAATATTCCCCTGAACCTCATCCTTGTTAGGTAGATAGTGGTTGATATCATTAGATATTGGAATGTCAAGTTGTCCCAAATATGTTATAGTCAATTTATTATTTAGGTGTCTTGAGGTTTTGTGGAGAATGGCCTTTTGCTATATTTGTTGGTTGAAGTTTCATGGTGTGACAATCTGAAGAGATATTCATGGAATATTGGTTTGCTTACTTTGGGTATTGTTGGCAGGGGAGTGGTGAGTTGTGATAATGGTGGGTTTCGTCAAATCATATTCTAACTAAGTTTGTTTTCTTGTTTAAAATCTTTTTTTTCCCCTAAATTCCACTTTTTCAGAAATATTCTTTGATACTTGTGAAGAAGTTTATGCTGCTCTTCTGTTATTCATTGTACTGAATTTGATGTAATCCTTTAAATATTCTCTTAGTTTCTCTTCACATACACGTTTTTAAATCCTCTTATTTACCTAATTGTTTGCTTGCTTTGCTTGTTTGTATCTTTGGAGTAGTCAAGGAGGCAAAAGATGAAGCTGTGCGTGGCAGAGGCCGTGGTGGACGTGGATATGGGCGTGGTCGTGGAGGTGGATTCAATAGAGACTTGACCAACAATGAAAATTTATCTGACAACAGTAGATTCTCTGGTGGTCAAGGTGCCTCTGAAGAGGCAGATACTGGAAAACCTTCCGAAAGGCAGGGTGGCTATGGTGGCCCACGTGGTCCTTTCCGTGGTGATCGCCGTGGCGGTTTTAGTAATGGAGAAGTGGGGGATGGGGAACGGGAGCGGGAACGGGAACGGCCTCGTAGTAGGGTATTTGAACGCCACAGTGGAACTGGTCGTGGGTAAATATCATCTGACGAAGTCCTTTTGATGTATCCTTTGTTTCGGCGTCTCAATTAACTTAGTTTCCATGGATTGTATATGCATGTCTACTGGTCATATATCATGCATTTTTTTTTTTTTTGGGTTTATGACATTTATGTTTTCAACTGTATAAATCCTGTGCACAGATATGAGTCCAAACGGGATGGTGCTGGTCGAGGAAACTGGGGAACTCAGACTGATGAACTAGCTCAGTGAGTATTTCTTGGCACCTGCTGCTATAAAATATTTGAGATCCTTATGGCATAGGTTTTGTTTGAAGCTTTACTTGTGTTTTTATTTGTGTGTATCTCAGACTGATGAACTAGCTTAGTGAGTATTTCTTGGCACCTGCTGCTATACAAATTTTGAGACCTTTATGGCATAGGTTTTGTTTGAAAGATGCTTTACTTGTGTTTTTATTTGTGTGTCTGTAGATTAATACTTCCTTCATCTTATTTGGTTTATCTAGGGTGACTGAGGAAGCTGTCAATGAAGGTGACAGAAAATTGGGCGCCGAGAAGCCCTTGGTGGAGGAAGATGCAACAGATGGCAACAAGGAGAATCCTAAGAATGAACCTGAAGAAAAGGAACCTGAGGATAAGGTGAATGTCTGCAACTATTGTATTGGATGTTTCTTGTTGATAGATAGTCATTTTTCATCGGTTTGCTGTGTTCAATAAACAAGTTGATAGTATTTACTGCCACATCTTCCGTAACCAGTTGTTATATCCTCTTTTATGTGTTTTTGATGGTCATTGTTGAGCAAATAATAAATATAACCTCACTCCCATATTGGTGGGGAAAAAAATTATTATTTTTTCTGCTTGTGCTTAATTGGATTGGGTCATGTGAACTGGTGCATGGAAACATTTACAACTATTGATAATTTCCAAGATAGTCTTACTGTAACATTCTGGACATTTTTGTAATTCTAGTTGTCAGTGGTAAGACTTGGCTAAAGTATGAGTTTTGATTCTCTGTTGGTTAGTTTCGTGACTCAATATTTCAATGTTTGTGCTTCCTTGATATCATCTTGTGATCCATTTCTTGTTCAGAGTGAGGTATTTATCTTTTGATGCATCGAGTCACTGCCACATTTTTTCAGCTGGGACCTCCTTTGTGCTCCTGTTGCTTCAGTCTCATATGACAATTGCATTGTTGCTTTTAGAATTTAGATTGAAGAATAGTTTTGATTCTCCTTACCCAATTCTAGATTTAGATTTTAGAGACAAGTCAAAGGATAGAATAAGATGTGTGACAATGCAATGATTTGTAGTAACAAGGTTGGAGGGAACACAGGATGGTTAATTTAAAAGGGGTGTGACAATCTGGCAGTCTTGGTTTTGCCGTGTATTGTAGAAGGGAAACAGAGAAACAAAAGAAATAGAGGAAGGAGATGACCCCGGATGAGAGTGAGAAGGGAGATCGAAATAATGTTATTTGATTTGGATATGTGGAAATGTAAAAGTATTGTCATCCACTTACGTGTTAGAATTATATGATGATTTCCATCAAAGATCAGTGTTTGTGTGATCCAACCATTAAGAGAGAAAAAGGGGGTGGGTGAGCTCGTGGTTCTTGTTGAGAGAGGACCCCCTTTGTAGCCGTATTCTTTATCAAAATCATCATGTTGAAATTTGGAAATGAGGCTTCTTATTCTGTCTCTGGAATTCCTTCTGGATGTGATCAAGTATCCCTGCTAAAACTGTTTCCTACATTGTAAGAACATCATAGCAAGAGCTTCGGCTATTTGAAATACTGAGTTCTCTCCTATAGAATATCATCATTGAACTTGAGATCCTTTTTACAAGAGCTCTGGCAAATGCTAAATAGTCTCTTGTGGAAGCAATTAAATATATCCAGTTCTTTTGGGTTCTAACACACTAGCTTTTTAATATGATAATGACATTAATTTTTGGAAAAAAGTGTACTCAAACGACATGAATTTAATAAGTACCATGGAGACTTGGTTCCATGTTCATTGTGCTAGTACTTTATATTTGCTTCTGTTGACTATTACTTGAGAATGTAGGAGATGACTCTTGAGGAGTATGAGAAGGTGCGCGAAGAGAAGAGGAAGGCTCTGCAGACTCTTAAAACCGAGGAAAGGAAGGTTGATGTTAAGGTGTTTGAATCCATGCAACAACTTTCAAACAAGAAGAACAATGAGGATGTCTTCATCAAATTGGTAAAATCCCCCAACACTCCTTAGAAATTTCTACATGCTTGTCACAGACTCAGAGATTTACTTTGTACTGTTATATGATTATCATATGTTTATACTTGTTACAAGATTATTGAGGTATTAATTGTACTACATTTCATTGTGTAAAGGGATCTGACAAGGATAAGCGAGCTGAGAAGGAAGAGAAATCCAAGAAGGTATTGCTACTTTTCCTGCCCTTGAAATCATTGCGTGCATAATTATGTATGCTTAGCATGCCTGGATACTCTAGGAACTCAATCAGATCTTGTAATCAAATTCTTTTGTTGTGACCTTCAGTGGGCATTCCATTCCTGTATATTTGAAAATCACTGTTTGTGTCTGTTTTGTCTGCCTAGTGGCTAATCTTCCTTTCCCTCTCTACATTTGTGTTCATGGTTCTTACTTTGTAGAGAAGCTCTTGCCCACAGGTGATGTAAATTACGAAGGGCACTGAAAGTCAATGTTTGAATGTTACAGGTGATGTAAATCATGAAGGGCACTGAAAGTCAAATGTTTGAATGTTGTGCTTGCATAATGTAGTCTGCTACTCATTCTAGCAAAGTATTTGTCATGTATTCGTCTGGTTTGTGTTGCTCCTTGATTTTCATGGCACGACATGTTTTCGAGGAAATTTGGACAAGGCTTGCAAAAAATACCCTTTTAAATTTCTGCACCATTCTTCTAATTCAAATATGTTATTAGTGGTGGCCTGCTTAAATATGCATTTGTCCACCAAACAAACAAACTCCTCTCTTCCCCCGCACCCTGGCCCAAGAGAGGGGGAAAAAGATCTATCCCCACATGAAAAATCCCCAGGGAATGGGTTATTTCCCTTCACACTTGTTTGGACCATCAATGCTGCCTATATTTGAGAAGTGCTTACATGTGCAAGTTCCCAGCATTACTTCTGCTTGGTTTCCATTCAAATCCTACTCAGGGATATTTGATTAAATGTGAAATTTTGAATGCAAATGAAAGGGTTCACTGTTAATAGTAGGCAATCTGTTACGTCCTCTGTGTGTGTTTCTGTTGCATATCACTTCTGTTCTGTGAGATTTGAAATGCATTTTCAATTCCTCAAGGCTGGTTCAGGATAATCCTTAGTTGCATAGGCCGGGGATTACTTACAAATGGTTGACTTAAGATTTTGAAGAGGAACTTTTACTACCATTCACAGCCATCAATTCTCTGGAAAGGTCACAATTCCTGTGAGCAAACATATTAATGATGAGATACACATTTTTGTTAGGAACTAATATTTGTACTTGCATTGCTGTTCTGCCCAAGTCTGTGCACAAGTGTTTCTAATAACAGTTTATAACTCCTATTTCTCTATCTTTCTACCTTTCTCAACAGTCAAATGGAGCCTGGCATATTTTTCATTTCTTTTTCTGTTGCTTTTGAGGAGCATGCTGTTAAATTCATATAGGCATGCCTGTCAATGCTTTTCCTATTGCAACTTGCCCCATGCTGTTCCTTTTAAATTATGATTTTACCCCTGCAGCAATGGAGTTTGATGCTCTATTCCCCTGGATTTCCTGTTATTATGATTTTGCTGGGGGGTAGTTGTGGTTGGTAATAGACTTAGCACCAACATGTTTAGCAAAATCAACTCTAAAAAAAGCCAGCAAGAGAGGCAAGTATCTCGCTGGCTATATTTTTTCACAGCAACAAGGTATTTTTAGACCAGTTGGTTTTGCTTTATTCAAGTGCTTGTAAGTAAATCGACACCATTTAGTTGTGTATTTTTTGAAATAAAATTCAAACTTTTTACTTTTTTATTCTTTGGCTATTCCAGTCTGTCAACATCAATGAGTTCTTGAAGCCTGCGGAAGGCGAATGGTACTACAGTCCTGGTGGGCGTGGGCGTGGGCGTGGACGTGGAAGTGGTGGCAGAGGAGGTTACAGTGGAAGTGGCAGAATGAGCAATGTGGAAGCCGCCCCTTCCATTGAAGATCAAGGGGAGTTCCCAACCTTAGGTTCCAAGTGAGATCCTCTCTTGTCCTGCGATTGTTTCTTGTTTGAGTGAGAGGAAATTAACAGGAATAATGAAGTTTTCTGACTTAAAAAAGTCCCTCAAATTAAATGTGGTAACTGTAAATTTTGGTTTTCTTCGTTTGATCCCTTTGTTTTTTTTTTCCCATCTACTAAATGCTGTGTCGTCTAAATGCTGTGTCGTCGCTGTTTTAAGATTTTGGGGCATATGAATTAATCAATATATGAATTCAAATATTAGTTGCTCACTTTCGTTCTGGGATGGGTTGAAGGCATTTGAGTTATTTCTTGTTGAGACTTGGTGATGTTTGACGAATGGATATGCTGTTAAAGTACGGACGGGTGGGATATTATGTCAATAGAAACACTAAGCTGGTTTTACTTGGCCACAATGTGTGCCATGTTCTTTTTTTTTTATTTTTAGTTCTTATTGATTGGCACGAGTTTTTAGCGTGCTGTTTTAATTTGTTCTTGTTGCTAGGACAGTAGGCTGAGGGCAGGTCTTTTATTTCGTTACATTTAGAAAAAAGTTCAATTAGAAACCAAAAGATCCGTGTAGTTGGTATGCTTCCTTTTCCTTTGAAAGATGGTGGAATTTGCATTTTGTAAGTTGAGCAACTAGCCAATGCTACCCTGAGAATGATGCTGAGGGTGAATGTTTGGTTGTCATTAGCCTAGTCCTCCATCCAAGAAAAAAAGTGCGGAATATTATTTTTAAATGGGTCGGGTGTTGGTTGAGCAAATTTTAACACGTGCCAATAGCTGGGTTGACTGGTTCCACGGGTTCTGTTATGTACATGAATTGGTTGTCGTAATTGGATGATAATTTCGCGAGTCGATGAATCACCGTTATGGTGACCATGTGCTCATGACAGACCTTCAATAGCTCCCAAAAAGAAAACAAAGAAAAGGTCATATGGGTTGCATCAATTGGGCGTAACCCCCTCTTGCAATTGTCCCAGGTGACCACAGAATTTCTCCAGTACGCCTGCTTTAACAAGCAAATGCAGGGATTGATTGACATTACTCGATCCTAGACACAGTGTTTCTATGTTATAGACGTATAAATTGATTGAAGAAATTGTGGACGTGATTCACGAGTATGTTGTGAACTTAAAAGAGTTGGGGAACAGAACAAACAATCAAAGTTCACATTCTTGATTTGAACAGCCCTTTCCATCAACAAATGTACGAGAATGAATCGTGGGTTGTAGAGATCTTTCAAGAACCACTAAAACAAATTTTAATGAAACTGGAGCGGAGAGTACTTGCACATGCCATGTATTGGAAGATCGTCATGACTATGCGTACTTTCTAATCACGAAGAGCAGCAACCACTACTCTGCCCGACAGGCTGTCCGCAGATATTGACTGTTGGAGGCTTGGCATTGTTCATGGCTGGTTGGCTTGCCATCCTGCACTCAGAAGAACATTAAGGGCATGAAGCAGTAGTAGAAAAGAATAACCACTGAGACTCTGTATTACTCGGGGTTAAAAAACCTTATACATTAACATTAGTAATAGAGCAGGGTAGCCCAAACATAACAAATATTTGGTTGGGCTCTGCAATGGGATTCTGCAGGAAGCATGGTTCAAGAAAATTATGGAGCACGGTAGCGATAGATTGTGGAGTAGAATAACCAGTTCACCCACAAACACAATAAACTTCAATAAGAACTCATGAAAGGTAACTTCTAATGCTAATGGCAGTAAACAATAGGGGAAATTTGAAGGCAGATTCAAGATTTATTGCTAAAAGTTAGTTTCCAGAGCATATTTCATTAGAGTTCTTGCTGACATTTACCCAAGAATTTCAGAAAGTTTCTTCCGACTTTTCCTGTATTTTCATAACGAAACCAGAGTGATTCCAAACAATACCTGTCAAACTTCCAACAGCTTAAAACACAAGATACGGAAAAAAAAAAAAAATATCCACCACACAAACAAAAAAAACACATCAGAATGTTTGCTGGCAAACTAACTATTATACCTAGTTGATTTATTTCCCTTTTCATGTTGAAAAATCATTTGTATGAGATGTGTTTGGCAGGTCTGACTTCAGTCCTCCATCTCAATTCTCAACTAAACAATTTAAACATTTAAGCCCAATGATAGATAAATTGCAGTAGACATCATCTGAAATCGCATACTCTTATCATAAGTACCATCTTCTCTTCCTCAAGTTTCTAAACCTAGATCAAAATAATTCCACAAAACCTCGAAAAAACCAAACGATAGGACAAAGTACAAGATGAAGGGTGAAACCATGGACATGGGCACACCACATCCACTAAATATCTCCCATTGACCTCTTCAAAAAGCATTTAACTGAGTCCTCCGAGAAGGTAGGTGTATCCATGCTATCAACTTATCTATGTATTGTCCAATGGCCCAAATCGAATTTCATGTCAAACCAATGAGGAGGTTCTTCCTCATTAAAACACCTTCTAGATATCCAAAACATTCATACTAATTAATATAACTGATAAGCATATGATACATACCTATTTTTTATCTCAGCAGCCATGGCCATGAAAGCCTGCTCAACATTAGTAGCATCTTTTGCGCTGGTTTCCATGAATGGAATGCCAATTTCATCAGCAAATGCCTACAAGAAATTAAATGAAGACAAAACTAAGCTATCAGATTACTCACTAAATTTACAAACAATAACAAGCTTGGCATACGTCGGGGAATTTGCTTACCTTGGCTGTCTCATATGACACAACTTTATTTGCTGTGAGATCACACTTGTTCCCCACAAGAAGTTTGTTGACATTTTCACTGGCATAGCGATCGATTTCATTCAGCCACTGCTTCACATTATTGAAGCTCTCTTGGTCCGTCACATCATAAACTACCTATTGGAAAAGCCAAACCAGAAGACATTAGTTGACAGAGCTGAGAACAAACATGGGATAGAAATCAACTAGCGATATCCCGTGACTAAAGTCACTATACACTAAGCTATGACCCTGTTCGTGTATTGGAGAGTGTGTGTGTGCAGCTGTGTGTTGTAATGTTGTGGAATGTGTGTGTTGGGTTTGTGAAATTTTGGGGTGAAGTGTATGCTGGGTGTGTGAAATTTGGGGGGGGGGGGGGGGGGAATATACCTTCATAAGCTAAAAAACCTAGATGTTTTATTATATAGATATTCACAATGAGAAAGAGTGCGTTACTCACTATAATACCGTGTGCCCCACGATAATAGCTGCTAGTGATCGTTCTAAAACGCTCTTGTCCAGCAGTATCCCACTGTGCATATTGTCAGAAAAGAAAATCGGTATTACATTCTCATTAAGAAAACATAACCAACCTTGCCATGAGTATATCTAAGGAAAACTGGACTAAGAAATGATGGCGAACACATCAATTCAATCAGATTATACTCTGGTTGTATATTCCAAAAATAATATTTAACCCAACTGAAAACTACCAAATTTCCTATAGGGGAGGGAATCCTATCACAAATTTGTTTATAGACAACATTCAATTAAACAATTAGACAGTACCATAGATTATACTATGATGCAAGCAAGACCTTACAATTTGAAGTTTGATAGTCTTCCCATCTTGTTCCACGGTGCGTATTTTCTACATAACAATCCATGATCAAAAAAGGGCTATAACTGCTAAAGTAACTTCAATTAGTTGCTTACAGTAAACCATTTACTTACGAAGTCAACTCCAATGGTGCTTATGTAACTCTCCAAATATGAATCATCCTGTATCAAAATAAGAAAGGAAGCCAAGAAATAGGTCAGGGCTTCATGAATTATAAAGTTTCTAGAACCAATAAGAGTCCAACAACTGCATAAGCTTCAAGGCAATAAAAAGGCACCATCAATGAGACAACTACATCAACACAAGCAGTTGCATATGCATGGGATATTCACTTTTGTGTGTAAAACACATACACATGGAACTCATATTACAAATTGTGGTTCCCAACAAGAATATTTTGCCATCAAACTATTTACACTACTGAAAAGCACATAGTCAGCGCAAAGCAGAAAATAGAATAGACATGGCATGCTGAGAGTATTAAGCCAAACTTCCACTGGGGCAGCCAAGGACAACCTCAAGCAATGGGATCTCATCTCACAACACCGTTTCTAAATTAAAACTAAAGAAGTCTCAGTTATTTTCATCAGAATAAGGAAATAATATGAAGAGTTTGAGTTCTTTTTGGAAAATTGGGCTGAATTTGAGTTGCTAATCTGCACGATAACACATGCTGCCTATCACTGACTCATAAAAATTGGACCAGGAAACTGGGACATTGAGCTTTTCTTGTTGGAGTTATAGTCTAGTTTATTAGGGTTTCTTTTCTTTTTTTACCCTTACTATGACTTTAATATTTTCCCTAAATCACAAGGATGTTTAGGTCACTTTGTACTATTGTTTAACTATATATACGGGGCTCTACTCTTAGTTTAGGTATCCCTTTCACTCATAGATACTTCAAGTTGGTATCAGAGCAAAACCCTACCCCTAACCCTACCCCTAACCCTAACTGTTGCCTTCCCACAATCCACCGACAGTGCCCCAACACCAGCAACTGCCACCCAGCAAAACCACCCTTCCCAGCATAACCAGCCACCCACAGAACCAGTGAAACCCCCCCCCCCCCCCCCCCCAGCAAAACCCCCACTCCACTGACAGCAGCCAACAAATCCTCACTCCACCAACAGCAGCCAACAAATAATACCCAGCATACTCCCACTCCACCGACAGCAGCCAACATCATCCTGATAAACCAACCGAAGTCTACCCAATAAACCAACACCGACAGCAATAAACCAACCCAATAATCAACCCAAGTCCCCAGCCAACCTAAGTCCCCAGCAAAACCAGCAGCGACTGCCCAACCCAGCAATCCACTGCCCAGTAGCGACCCAAACCAGTGAACCCCTAGCCCAACCCAGCTGCCCAACCCAACCCATTGCCCCAATGCCCAATCCAGTAGCGAATTTATCCCAGCAACCCAAACCGGCAACGAACCCAACCCAGCTGTCCCGCCTTCGTGCTTCGCACTCTTCGCCGTAGTGTCGTCATCTCTCTGTGCTACAACCTTCTTTTTCCTGTGGTTGCAACATCTAGGACCTTTTAAGAGGGGTTGAATTCTCTTCTCCATTGATCTGCTCTTGATGCAGTAGATCACTCATATATTTACTGAATTTCTAGGCACCGTGACCTGATTATTTGAGAGCTTTCTAAACCTTCTTTATCTGTTGCTACTGTTCGACTGGAGGTATATTATTCTCTCTTATTTTGTCCCTTTATTTATCTTAGAGTATTTTCTGTCACGGGTGCCCACGTATTGTTGTTAATATGACTACTACTGAGGGACTTGAGCCTTCTACCGTTGAGACATCTACTGTTGAGACCCCTAATATTAGTACTTCCACTCGGAATGTATTGTCTAGTTCTCTCAATGTTATGTTTGATCAGTACACAGTACCTACTAACACAGTTGCATTACCGGTAATGCCGAGTATAATCTTTCAAAAGATTACAGCACAGTTGTTGAATGGCCGTAACTTTACTAAATGGTCACGCTCATTCCAATTTTTCTTAGGCTGTGTAGGAAAACTTAGTTGGCTAACGAGATCTCACCCAAAGCCGGCTGATAATGACCCTAGATGTTCTGCATGATTTTCTAAGAACTGCGCTATTATTGGATGGCTATTTGGCTCGATGGAGCCATATGTTTGCAACATTCACCAGTTTCATAGTTCTGTTCCGAAGTTATGGAGCGCATTATCGGAGATGTAGTCAGGACGGGGAATTCGTGTTTATGAGCTTTTTTAGGAGCTCTCATATGCTCGACCGGAGATATGATAATTTAGAATTATTATGGCTATTTGACCTAGTGCTGGCTTGAGTATGAGACTCTACGTCCTCTTACTGTTATTCAGAAGATTGAGCCCGAGGGAGCAATATTCCTACATACTCAAGAGCAAGAGAATAGAATTCACAAGTTCCTAATGGAGCTTCGTAATAAGTTTGAGAGACCTCGTTTCCAGATTTTGTCGATGCTGAGGCTTTTGTTCCTTTATGAGGTGTATGCAATGATTGAGTTGCATGAGCGTCGTGTCTGTATTACATCACTTTCAATTGCTACTATGACTCCTCAGGCCGACCAGATAGCCCTTGCAACTGCTGCAAGGTCTCATTCAAGACCCTCAGTTAGGGGTGGACAACACTCAGACCAGCGCTATTAGGGTGCCCCAAATCAACGCAAACATGGTGATTATCGTCAGTGTAATTAGTGTAGCTGACCAAGACATCTCAAAGCTGCTTGATGGAAGCTCCATTCGCAGCTTAAGCCACCTTCTTGCAGTCGTACTACTACTATTGCTGAGGTGGTGTCAATGCTCGTTACTGCTCCTCCTTAGCAGAGTGATATGGATGATATCACTTCTTGCTTGTATATACTTAAGTCAGCCTTGACTTCTCAGGGTCCAACTATTACTGCTACGACTACTACATGTATATCTCATGCCTTTCATGCTTGCATCAGTCCATCTCCCATTTGGATGTTGGACTCGGGTGCGAATGGTCATATGACATGTGAGGCTCATCACTTCACCACTTTTGACGAGCAGTTACATACACAGGTTCAGTTAGCAGATGTGACACATGCCCCTATTGTTAGTAAGGGTATAATCTGCCTTCCAAATGACTTTACATTACATTCGTTTTTTCATGCGCCAAAGTTGGCCATAAATTTATTCACTGTACATTAGTTAGTCAGAGATTTTCACTGTGCAGTTGTATTTTTATCTGATTCGTGCTATTTGTAGGACCTGAGTATCAGGAAGATTATTATTAGGGAACATGAGAAAGTTGGACGATACTATCTAGGTGATCCATCCTTAGTTTCACCAGTTCCTACACATGTTTTATCTTTATCTGTTCCTATTTTGCATGCTAATATTTTAACTAATACTTAGTCGTTATAATTTTTCATCACAAACTGTTCAGTTGTGGCATGATAGTTTTGGACATACAAATTTTAAATATTTATGTATATTGTTTCCTACTTTGAGCAATGCATATGTTGGTGGTAAATTTGTCTGTGTTATATGTTCCCTATCGAAACATATTAAGACTAGATATATTCCTCGCATGCACCAGTCACTTAAGCCATTTGACTTAATACACTCTAATATTTGGGGACCCTTTCATGTTATTGTTCTTTTAGGTGCTCGATATAATGTGATATTTATAGATGACCATACCCGTTGTACTTGGGTCTACCTTTTGCATAGAAAGTTCGATATACTCCATATCATTACTCAATTTTTTCAGATGATTAAAACACAATTCGATGTCATTATTCGTGCTCTTCGTTCGAATAATGCCAAAGAATATTAGTCTGATGCCCTAGTATCTCACCTTTCTTCTTAGGGTATCTTTCAGCAGCTCACTTGTTCATATACTTTTGAGCAAAATTAAATTGCTGAAAGGAAAAGTAAGAGTCTGATAAGGATAGTACATTGTATACTTAGAGGTATGGGGGTACAAAATCTTATTGGCATTTTGTTATTTTGACTTCCATCTTGTTGTGCAATTATACACTGAGTAGTGTTCTTTAGTATAGGACTCTCTTACAGGTCTTATTTCTTGAGTGAATACTTTTTTCGGTCTTCCCACATGTTTTTGGTTGCACATATTTTATTCAAAATAGGTCTCCTACTCGTCATAAGTTTGATGATGGGGTATCGGTGTTATGATCCTACTAGGCGTCGTATATATCACAGTCTAGATGTTACCTTTCTTGAGCATATTCCTTATTTTTCTTTCAGTCTTGTGTTTGTCCCTCCAGTTAATGATACTCCTTTTGATTTTCCATTATTAAAAGAGCCAGAGCCATTGATCATTGTCACTACAGATTCCCCAATCTCTTCTCCTCCAGAGTCACTAATCTCTGTCACCACAGAGTCACCAGTCTCACCTCCTTTGCAGGTTTATGTTTGTCGCCCTCACTCTCATCCCCCTGCTAATGTTCCCTTTACTTCAGGCGATGCAAGTAATATTTCTCCGTTTGTTGAACCTATTGATGCACCTATTGTTAGTACTTATGAGATTATAGTTAGTGAGCCAGTTATTTTACCTGATGAGACATTGACAATGGAGGATGATGATTTAGGGCATCATTATTTGCGGCGTGATCGCCGTCCCATTGTTCATTATGGTTGGACCGCCAGGACTTTATATCCGATCTCTGGTTATATTTTTTATGATGA